AAATACTAAATAAAGTGGCAGCGGCAGAACATTAAGATTCGGCTCCTCCTTTCAACTCTTGTGTTCTACTGCTCTCTCTTCTCTATACCTTTTCTTCTATTTCCGAACCTGAAATCCATTAGGGTTCAAGACTGATAGCAGTCTTGAACATCTACTTTCTTAATAAAAAGGATTGCTATTTTTAAAATCAATATGCATGTTTGATGGCATATAAAACTAGAGAATTAGCCAAAAGTTAGTTCTTTATTTTATAAAATTCTTATTGCCTAGGGTGATTTGGCGACTAAGCGCCCCACTATTGCTCATAATCACCTAGAAACCTTGACAACTATGGTACAGTACCAATAGGAGTAGAAGGCATTATTACACTAAACTGTGGGGAAAATGCTTAGTGTAGCACAGAATAAATCTATAGACAAACCCATATTGAGGGATATGAAAGTGATAAAAATGCTGTCTGAAGAAAAATTACAAATATATCAGAAAAGGCCAACTCAACCTGTCCTGACAAATTGTAAAATGGTTATGTAGGTGGTTTATTGTATCATGAATCATTATATTCCATTATCATAATCATAGCATAACCTATTCACATATTAAATATACAGGTATATGTCATGTCAGGTGATAGTGGAGCACATAGACATTGCATATTAAAGCTTTAGGCACATAGACATTGCCCTTTACTCAGGTCCAATTGGTGTACGTAACTCCATAAGGGCTGAGATTATGGCTGCAATGGAAGGGGTGAAAAGGGCTAAGGAGATGAGCATTAGAAAGAAGAGATTTAAATGAGGAGTGGTTACAAAAGGAGGAAGCTGGTTTGTGGATATCAATAAAAATGAAATGAAGAGATTTAAATGGCTCACACAAGATAATGGAAGTAAGACTACAATGGGTTACAAGAAGTGCTAATTCCTTTACTGGCGTACTGGTCAAACAAGGGGTGGGTACAGATCAAATGTTTTGGGCTCAAATGTAACTTGTTTGAGAGTTTAAATGGGGAGAGCAAAGAGAACAATCTCTCCCATTCATATGCCTCTTTGTACTTAATTCTTTTAATTTAATAAATTTTCACAGCTATTGATAAAAAATAAATAAATGCATAGTTGAAAACATATCAGTGTTATGTGTCCATAAAGATGGATCTCTACACAACTTCAATCTATATGGATAAAAAATGTGC